GTGAGCCTTACTGCCTCCGAGTGTCTGATTTATCATGTAATTAATTTTCACAATAATTATCCAATCATTAATCCTTAATTATCTTAGATAAAGTATTAAAAACAGCACTGCCTCTCGGTACTCTCAGTTCTTTGATGAATTTCCTTATTGGCTGCTAGCTTCTACGGGCTTAGTGGCTGCTGTTATTGGCTGCTAGCTTCAGCCTGGTGTATACTTAGTTTGGTTTATAAATACTTTGTTTGGTTTATATATACTTTAAAATATTCACAGGCATTGTAGGAGAAGAACATGCATTTCAATTAATTAGTAATATTTGACAATAATCAGTTGAGCCCCCATCCCACAGGAACACCTGACCCTGGAGTGACACATTTCACAATTTTGGAAAAGGTTTTTATATCCTCTTCAGCCGGGGATAAAAATGAAACCTCGAAATGATAACTTTTTCAGGGATTTGATGCACTTCGGTCTGAAATGGATGGGCTGCTACGTTATATTTCCTCTGTAATGGACCAAGTGCCATCAGAAATGGAAAGCATAAAGGAGAAACTTCGGGCCGTGTACTCTAAAGTAAAGTTATTCAATGAGTGCATATCAAACAAAGAGGAAAGGTATGACATAAACTGTTAAGTATACATGTATGCATCAATGAAAATATGTGTCAACATAATCATGTTTGTCCATACAATCACTACCTTAAAAGCAGTTTGACTAAGTATTGGGTATATTTATTAGATAATATTAGTAAATCTAGAATTGATAAGTAACTTTCACTATGTATGTAAGTATCTATACGGCCTTTTAGCTTAAAATCTTCATGCACAATTTTAAGTTCAAGATTGGTAATATCATGTAGGGGTGTCAACAAATATTCGAATATTCATTCGATGAGTTGATATTCGAATATAAATTCATGATTCGAATATTCGGATTTTAAGAATACAAGCATTGAAAAGAAAAATAAATCTGACAAAAACTGAAGTTTTATCAGAAATTGAATCAAATTCTCATCGTTGACGAATAATAATATTTTATTTAAAACAGAATTAAAAGACACTCCTCTTGGATTACCTTAAAAGTGTGAAAAATGTGTCTATTAAAATGATATAAATTATTCATTTGATCATTTAATTAGAAATATAACAGTGTCCAGTACTTATAATTAGTTTGAATTTTTGAAAGAACACAGTTTTGTTTATGAATACATCATTTAAAATCATTATCAGGAAATTAATTAGCTAAAAGTAATTGCTTTAAATGTGTTCCATTTGATAATTGTTCTGTGTGGTATAAATCTGTAGGGTTATCAGTGTACACTTTGGTAAGATGATTAATCTGGAACTTGTTAAAAGAATCTTATGAATTTTCGGGGGGAAATTTTTAGGGCCCCGCAAGGATTTGCGGGTGCCCTATAGTAATCACTCCGTCCGTCCGTCTGTCTGTCTGTCTGTCTGTCCATCTGTCACTCTTCCGTCCACAAATTTTCTGTTTTTTTCTAATAACTTTTTTTATGGTTGCCCAATCAAGTTCAAATTTGGTATGGTAGTTCAGTAGGCAGAAATACATATTTTGATGCTAAGTTTGGTTCTCTATGTCTTCTGGTTTGGAGCTAGGGTGGTGGGGTAGATTCCTTAACTATGCATAAGAATGAATGGACAACATTTTTTATGGTTGCCCAATCAAGTACAAATTTGGTATGGTAGTTCAGTGGGCAGAAATACATATTTTGATGCTAAGTTTGGTTCTCTATGTCCCCTGGTTATGAGCTGGGGTGGTGGGGTAGATTCCTTAACTTTATATACAAAAGCATTGGCAAAGAGAGATAACTGCTGAAGATGTTCCCATTGTAAACTGAATGCTGCTATGAGTCCCTTGGGATTAATTAGCTTTCCTCCAGAAGAAAATCCAGAGCATTATCTTTATCTGTCAAATTGAGATGAATTACCACCTCTGTCTGCAAATGAAGTTTGTTTTGAAGTTAAGTCAATTTGGAATGCTATGAACACTCTGAAATGTGGATTTAAATATAAATTTTTATAATTTATTTTTGTTTAATAGTTATGATTACATTGAATTCTAATAACAAGAAATAGATTAAAAAAGATTTTTTGATTTACTTTTTTCACTTTATGTTAATTCAAGAATATTATTAATTTTTAGGATAGTTGTATAGAAACCCCATTCTATCATTAATACTGAAAAAGTTCTTATTGTAACTTTAGAAGAAAATGATGAGAGAGGTACAATTAATCCCTTGGGATCAATTAACTAGCCTGCTGCAGAAAATTTAGTAGACTTTTCTTTATCTGTCACTTTAAGATTAATGAAAACCTTTGCCTGCAACTGCTGTTTGTTTGAAGTTAAGGTCAAGTCTTCATGATATTTGCATTCATTGAAGGCTGGCATTTTATATAACACAAGCTTCATAATTGTTTTAATATACATTCAGTGTTAAGTTGTTCTTTACTGCCTAATGTAAATACAAGGATATTATTTTCAGGTTTTTGAATATTCAGGAATTATCTCGAAATTTTAAGACAGTTGCTGTTGCTTATTCTTCGTACATTTTTTAATCATTCCGTAAGCTGCACCCTATTAATTCTACCCCACGGCGGGGCCCTTGCTGACTGGTCAGTTTTCTAGTTTTTATTACATTATGGATATAAACTCTTCATATATTCTGTAAAATATTTTAAGAATATAATTAAAGTTTATTTACAAAACTCTACATGAAATTTTATTCAAAAATAATGACATAAAACGTATATATTGCTTGACAAAAGAGTGAAGATACTCGTATATACATATTATAATGCAAGATGTATTTATTTTATCGAATATTCGAATATATTCGAATACTACTATCGAATATTCGAATATCAATTATTGACAACATTGACATCCCTAGATGACAACCACTCTGGAGAGTTAGGTTCAATCAATTATATTTTCATATTTACAGAATCACCATAGATATTGATTCTAGAGGAACAATCTTATCATCACCGATCCAAGGGCTGTCTTTGCAAATGTGGGACAACAATAGTAGAAATGAACACATGCCTAATCTAGACAGGTCTCTTTTTCAAACCAGTGTCACTGAAGTTTTCAGATTTACATTACAAGGGAAGCCTTACACAGTTCATAGCAAAAATGAGGATGTCATATTGGTTCGCATTCAGATGATAAACTTAAAGAAGCCAAATGGTAGACAGTGGCTTTCTAAAGTATGTCATAGAGACATCTGGACCACCATTGAAACACAGACCAAGGTTTGACTTTTTTTTATCTATAATTGACATTCGAGAAATTCTAATTTGGCATTTTACATTCCAATATATTCGAGTAAAAGAATTTTTAATCTTGTTGCAGGATGATTGGATATTTTTTGGGATAGAGGCCTTGGAATCATTCTTTATAATAGAATCTGCCGAAGAAATGCCAATGACGATTGACCCTAAAGGAGGAGTGTATAAGCATGTTTCAGACCCTAAAGCTCTGATTGAGATACCGAAGGGTGCGACAGTTGAACGTCAAATAGCAAACGTTTCGGTGTGTTTTTGTGCATATATATATATATATTTGAGGAATGAAGCTTATTTCAACTTTTGTTATACAACAAAACATAATTTGATGAAGTTTACGCTTTATAAACCGCGAAGCTGATCCAGTAATATGTTTTTGACGTAACTCGTTGTGATGTACGCAAATTATGTTATACAAAATGGATAAAATCTTTTACCCAATCAAATGACGTATAACAACTAAATTAAATTAGTTTATATTAAAAGGCCAATATCAAACGGTGAATCCTCCTGAAAAAAAAAGAAATTGTAAATCTCTCTAGACAAGATATCTAGTTCGTCTGAAGGAATTTCTAATTAGTTCGAACAAATATCTTAATCGTTCAAAGAAATTTACTAATTTTTTCGAACAAATAACTAATTTGACCTTTACTCGGCACAGGCAACCATTGAGCTGTAAGGGTTCTCCTTTTTCGAGCAAGCACCTTTTGCGACATGGGACCTCAGTTTATACAGTCTCATCCGAAGGACCGGTCTCACTTTGGATTCGAACCTGTGACGTAAGGATCGACTCCTTACTTCGTGACTCTAGAGCAGACGCTCTAACCACTGCACCACGCATGCGACTTAATCTATTTAACATAATCAATATTCTGATAAGATACTGCTAAATGTTCTCTATCAATTCCATTATTGATTGACGACCCTTTCGGAATGCAGATGTGTGTCACCTATCTGTTGAGTGTAGGGGCTGTTATTGTTTAAAAATTTCTTCGAGGCTGAAATTGTTTTAAGGTCAAGTTGCAGTGCCTCAGAATGGAGTTCCTGGTTGATCTGCTGCCAGGGTATGTGGCCTTGGTTATCAGCTCTGCACCGACAAAATTTTGCCATCATGCTAAGAAGCTGCCTTTTCTCTACCATCTGCTTTAAATTTCTGTACAATTGCCATGTACTTAATCATGTTACAAGACTGATTCGAAAATTCTCACAAAACATTGACACAGAAATGCGTTTATCAGTTGACTGAAAGATTCTATGCTCTTGTGCTGAAGAGTTATTTCATTCTTTGGACCTTGCCCTTCCTGTTATTTTGAGTATGGATTCTTGAACAGCAGAGCACCAGGTTGGATATATTCTTCTGCCCAAATTTTTGCCCTCAATTTCTTGTGGACAATCCTAAAGGACGACCTGAAGGTAATGGAATGGTTGTATTTACAACATTACATTGGGCACTGTTAGTCAAAGATGATTCGGCAAAGTTGCTGCACTGCTTGTACTCTGTTGACTAGGCTCTTCTTGATAGACTGTTGCTACAGCATTGTTAGTTGGAGGTGGTTGACTTACATCCAAGCTTGTTACGCTAACTAGATCCTTGCTTCGTTGGTGGATGTGACATATCTCCCTTTAATTTCTGAGTAACCATTTCTACAATGTTTGGCCAAAGGATCATCAGATTTCATACACAATATGAAGCAAACAAAATGATTTTATAATGACTCCTTGAAAGTATAATAAAATATTCGGTTAACAGAGGAACTGCGAATAAGAGATGGGTACCCCCAATCGTATGGAAAGATTAGCATTGTCTATTTTTTGCTTTGGAAAACCCGAAATATATATCCAATCAAATAGTATAATGGTAAAAATAGTAAAAAGGTTCACAATGGCAATTTGCAACAAATATTCATTGAAAGCCTCATTAAATTTTATTCAGTGGTTTAAGAGGAACTATAGATAAATGATGGGACCCCAAAGCTTAACGGACGGACGTACAGACGAAGGGAAGGACAACAGAAACACCCAGTCACACCTCTTTTTAAATAGATGGTATAATAAGAATAAAATAATTTTAATTTACCCTACGACAGTCCTCTGTTTGGGTTCTTTTTACATCCAATGAGTAATTAAAAGGGTAGAGACAGTCATGACCTGTGACAAATCCAAAATATTGGTAGTTCTTTTTGAGAGTTCAACTAAATTCCTATTTTTTATGTCTATGTATTTTTAAAGAAAATTATTTTCTAATTACACGAATAATAAATTTGGTAAATTGTGTACATGTTGTTACAGGTTGTCTTGATGGAAACACCGTCTTTCTTGGGATTTACAATGATTTCAAAGATAGTTCGAACCTCTGCACACTTTTTGAAACCAGTTACCGTCCACTTTCCTGAAACAATTCAGTCCACTGATAGTAATTTAGCCTTTTTCCACTTCGACATTATCCATGAGGAGCTGACGATTGATTTCACTCACACCATCAGACAAGAGGGAGGGTGTTTCATTGCCCCTGTCTCGGAATTTAGCGAGTAATAATATCTAATTTTTGAAAAATGATATGTTCATTCAATGATGATAAATAATTATTCTATGGTGATATTTCCCTTGATATTCTGTGCGAAAAACCTTTAAATGAATGCAATGATAAAGATACAAGCTGCTCTGTTGTTCTTTCAGGACTGGCATCGTTGCTGTTCCTAAAAGCTATTCCCAGCAAAGTGGAAGTTTTATCCTTCCATCTCATGAATATAAGCAGAACAGAAAAATGGAATTCAAATGCAAAGCACTGACATATGTTTCCAAAGAAAGAGAAGATTTTGCCCAATTATGGTGTGAAGTTGTTTTAGTGGATAACATTGATAAAAGAAGAACGATGATGAAAATAAATAATTCAGAGTTCAAAGAATTGAAAGAGTCCAATGACTTATTTCTGAAAGAGGACGACCGTATACGTGTAAACGTTACAGGAAATTTTAACAGTAACAGACAAAAACAATTTAATATCATTAGATTCAATGTTTCAACAGACAATCATATTATTTTAGCTTTGGAAAAAACAGGCAGGGGATTAACCTTTTCCGAAATTTCTTATGAAAAATGCATGGGAAAAGACAAATACCTGTGGAAGATGCCCACAGATATAGCGTCAATGAAAAAAACAGGAACGAGATCTCTTCAAAGACAACAAACAAGGGAAGGTACATGTATAAATTTAATGTTTTGTCCAATGCACAAATATATTTTCATTAAATGAATACTACTTATTTATTCATTTTAAAAAACTTTGCCTTTTATCAGTCCATAAACGGCACTAAACAATGCATTCGAAGCGTAACCGCCATGCAAGCCGATTTACACCTTGCGTCATTTTTCAAAATCTACGACGGGCGTTTAGTGCAATAATTTAAATTCGAAAAAATTCAATATTGTCTGTCTCAAATGTATATATAAGAAATAAATAACAAGTTTATAAACTTCAATGGGAATTGAAGTGGGTCGGTACGTGATCAAATCTTCTGAGAAGGCTATCACGTGGCCGACCCACTTCAATTCCCATAGAAGTTTATAAACTTGTTTTTTAGATTATATTTTGTTGCGGAAGGTTTTTCCCTTTTGAACTATAACAGAACTGTTAATTTTAGATTCCTATTTTTCCATGCTGGTTGAACACAAAGCTGTTTTTGCAGTGAAATGTGTTATGCTGGTTCTGAAATACATGTATCTATTAAATTATTTCATGTGAATTCTTTCAACGAAGTGTGACAAATATAGTCAATATATTCTGAAAATCCGGGGGAAAATTGAACCAAATTTAATGTAAAATTGACATTTCTTTAGTAATATCTGAAAATTTACATGAAAATATACCCCCCACTTTTGATGTTATTTTCTGAAAAATTAAGATAACTTGACATTTTGTTAAATTCAGTAAAAGTTTAAGACTTTGAAATAATTTTCTTGCATATAAAACTTTCAATGCAAGAAGAATCACATTTTATTAGTGCAGAAAGGTCAAATAATTGATTATGCGAAGCAATTTGAAACTGTTTCTTAGTCACAATTTTAAAGTGTTTTTTTTTTTAAATAGACTAGAGTTCATTTTGTTTCATGCTTAAATTGGATAAAAATATTGGAAAACGTCGAAGATGTAATTTTTATTTAAGACACTAATTTTAGTGCAAAAAGGTCATACTGAATATACTGTAGCGCCAAAAGATTGACCCCCCTTTTTTTTATTTGAATTTAGATTAAGCTATGTATGTAGAACTAAAAAATATACTTGGGAAAAAGTTTGACTTTAAACATCGGGATCCAACGTCGTTAAGTTGCTTTGTCGTCTACAGTAGAAAGCATTTATAAATTTTCAAAACTATAAGATACATTTCTTTTTCAGGTTTTGACCCAGGTGAATTCAAGAGTTTTCTTCAAGCCTATGGGCTCGAAAACTTAATTGAGACGTTTATAGAAAACAACATCACCGGCTTGAAAGCATTTCTAGATTTGAATGAAGAAGATCTTAAAGAGCTATCTGTATCTTTGGGACATCGCAGATCGTGTTTGGCCGCCATTAAAGATTACAAAGAAAGACATGGCAAATAAAAAAAATAAATAAAGCAAAGGGTTTAAAGCATTTTGTTGCACATCAATAATAAGGATCTTTTTTTCTGTAAGACTAATTTTAATTGCACTGTATCAGAATTTAGACAACTGTAGCTTAGAAGCTGCTTAGTATTTCGTCTGATGCTCAAATACATTGACTGATCTTTTGATGTGCCATATTTTGTTTTTTTCATTTTCTTTCTATATCAGCTGCTTGAATCTTCATTTAAAAGGGTTATGAATTAGCGTATTTCAAAGGTAAAATCTATTTGATAATAAGAGACAGTAATTTGTTATGACGTTAAAAATTCTCGTTTTTTTTGCTATTCAATTATTGGGATTTGCCTAGATACATGTATACGAGTATATTCAGCCTAACGCATTGTTCCTGCTCTGCTAGGAGACTGTTTCCGTAGTTCGAGAGTTCAACAAAGTGTTGGGTCGGGAGTAAGTATCATTATGATAAGGTGAAGTGTTCTTTTACTGTTTAAAAACACCGATGAAACCGAGAGGGCTATAGGTTTCCTTTGCATGTTTCCGTCCATCTGTCTATCTGTCCTCCTAGCTGTCTTCTGTCTGATTAAATATTTTGGAGAAAGGTTTGTATCGCCTGTCCCTTAAGAAGAGTAAGAGCATAAGTTAGTCTAACCTTGTGCCATATATCTATGTATAAGAAGATATATGTATAAGTTATGAAAATATCATGTTCTTTAAGTAGTTTTAACTGCATCATGGGTGTCGGAAGCAAATTGAAAGTTGGGGGGGGGGGGCTAATTGAAAGGGGGTGCTAAACCAACAAAAAAGGCAATCTCCAATTTCCAATGCCTATATTATGTATATATTTGCAAAAAAGTGTGGGGGGTGGGGGCTAAGCCTAATAGCATATAAAAATCACTAGCTAAATAAATCAAACACAGCAATTTTTTTCATCAAATTATCAGATAAGTGCCTCAATATGTTGTAATCTGCAACAGAAGATATCAATGATAGACTCGGAGACCGAGTAAATAGAAAAATTGGGATTTTTTTGTGTTTTAGATTTACTAGTATCTTTGTTGTAGTTTTGGATATGTTTACTGTCTATACCGTTTTTCCATTCGAAAGAATACGTCTCTTGCTTATTGACTTAAAAAAAAGTCCCTCAAGTTCATGAAAAAGAGAATGTATGTACAGTATTTACACAAATATATTGTAATGATTTCATGGAAAAAAAACCGTAAACAAATCGTTGTTTTTTGTATAAATTTAATAAAACACTTGGATCAGAACTTGTTGCATTTATTGAATCTTGAAGGTTTTTCTTCTACATGTCAAATGTAAACAAAATTAGCGGCATGCACTCTTACTGAAAACGAAATGTGTTTGTGAAAAAGTGATTCTCCCATATGGAATCATAGCGAAGATTACGCTTTTCTTGAATGGAAATTAAACATGAAATTAAACATGTTGGTGCCCAAAGTAAGGTCTTCTCACAAAAAATAAAATTGTGAAATATGAAAGAACTAGCATCACCTGTTCAAACGTTATGACCAAGGTTAAAGTTTTTGAAAGGTATATCAAACTCCAAGGTCAAAGGGTCAAAGTTATTGGTGCATGTATGTATATAATGAAAAACTTGTCACAAGGATTACATATATGAAGTATGAGAGCCCTAGCCATTACTGTTCAAAAGTTATGACCAAGGTTTATGTTTTTTAAAAAGTAGGTCAAACTCCAAAGTCAAAGGGTCAGGGTTCTTGGTATCTAATTCTTGTCTCAAGGATTAAATATGCGAAGTGTGAAAGCCCCCAAAGGAATATGCAGTCTTTGTTGATGGCCTCTAGTAGCAGCGAAGTAGGATGGGGAAAGGTGATTATGGAATGTCTACTAGAGAATGCAGATCTTGTATATATCAACTCTGCTTTGTCACCTTGTCTACGATGTTGCAGTGGTTCCCATCCCAACTGCTGAATCATGGAGGTGACACTGCTGGAGGTCTGATAGTCAGCAGGACATACTGCTATCTTGCAGCTTGGCACTGTACAGTTTCAAACTTGGTGGTGTTTTTCTGGGGTCCCATCCACACAGTACTCAAGTGTATTCTACTTGTGGTCTGTCCATTAATGTGTAGCACATCTCCGTGGTCTTCTGAGGACAAGATGGTAGGTTCCTCCAGAGGAAAGCCTTCTTGCAGACTTGGTATATGGGGGGGGGTGTCCAGCTTAGGTTGTTGGTAATGGTTATGCCCAGGTGATTTGCCTTGTTTGTCAGATTCAGGACTTTGTTGTGTATAAAGTAGTTACCTTGGATGATTTTCTTTTTCCGTGTGATGTAATCCGAAATATCTGACGTTTTCCTGGCTTAATCCTTAACGATTTTGATATTTTAAGTGCCAGGCAAACGTCAGAACCGGTGCCATTACGAAAACTGGGAATTCGCCTCCAACCGGAGGCGGCATCCTCAGGTTGATTTTCCGATACTTGCAAACCGAATTAAATGCTGAATTCACATTATTTCAATAGTACAATACCTTTAGTACTCGCCAACATAGTTTTTATGGTTCGTTTATGAAAAATTATAATCCGATAAAAACATTTTATCTGACTGTCGAGATCTGTTTTCATTTCATGCATTTTAAAATCTTACAAGTTCTGAATCGGAATGTGGAGTGGTAATTTCTTTTCATTGATATTGGTGAGTTCCAGGAGCATTGTGCCATTGATAAATTGTGAGTTCTGCATCTAATTCGGTTCCAAAGTATAGAAAATCAACTTCGCGTGGAGACGGTGAAATTCCCAATTTTCGTAATGGCGCCGGTTCTGAGGTTTTCCTGGCATGTAAAATATCAAAATCGTAAAAAAAGGCAGGAAAACGGCAGATTTTTCGGACTACTAGTGATGCAGATGACCTCGCATTTGTCAGGATTCCATCAACCAATTAGTTTTCATTCTAAAAAGATGACTAGCTCCTGTTGCAGCACCGCTGTGCCTTCTGCTAATCTTCCTGTACAGGAGGCAGTCATCTGTTAACAGACGAGCTTTTGGCTTCACTTGTGCAGGTAGATCATTGATGTACACAAGGGAATCAATGGACCTAGTGCTGTGCCTGGATGTACTCCTGAGGTTTCTAGTACTGATTCAGTGATTCTGATGAGAAGCCTTCCACTGCAACACGCTGGTATCTGTTGCCTAGAAATGACCCTATCCGAGACAATGTTGGGCCATAGATTACATAGCAGTTGAGTTTTTTTAGCCAGCTACTGGTGTGGCACTTTGAGAAGTCGAGGAGAATAGCATCAATTTGGATGTTATCGTCTAGCCCTTTTGCCAGGTTTTGGATGGTAAGTATGAGTTTAGATTCGCATGATCGTGGTTTGCGGAATCAATGCTGCTAACAGATAAGATGTTATGTTGGTAGAAGAACCGCATGATGGAGCTATGTATAATGTGCTCGGGGCTTTGCAGCATACAAAAGTTAAAGACACTGGGCGATAAATAGAAGGTTTATTCTTGTTTCGATCTGTCTTGAAGATTGGTGTAACAATGACTGTATTCCAGTCTGCTGGTGTTCTGCCTTAATGTATTGAGGCCTGGAAGAAAGTGGAAGTGCAGTGTTAATTTTACTGGTCATTTCCTTGAATAGGCGTGTGGGCAGTTCGTCAGGACCAAGTGCCTCATGAGGGTTTAGCCTTGATAGTAGTTTCCTAATACTCTCTTGCTTGATGGATATGTCTGGGATGGAACTTGGACTAAGGGAGTGATGAACCATCCCCTTTGGTGAAAACAGAAGAAAACTGGTTGTCCAGTATCTCTGCTTCTTCCTTTGGGTAGCACTTAGGAATCCCCCCCTTCTCTAGTGGCGAAATGTCACTGCTGTTACACTTCCGATCCTTGACTAATGAAGACAGCTTTTTGTTGCTTTTATCATCACTCACAATGTTTTTCACTCTCAATCTTCGAATGAAATCGTAAAATTTTAGGTCTAGTGTTGCAGTAGGTGTTGGCAAAAAAAGATTCCTTACAGCTTAATAGCCTTTAGGCTCGAGTATAAGACATAAATGACAACCGATGATAAGAAAACGTAACTGGTATATCACCAGTAGTGTCAATTCTATGTGTTACCGTTGTAGAATAAACTAAATTTTTAAATGAAAATAGTTAAATGCTTACTGAATAAATCCAATATCTACTGCCACTGTCCGTCTACAATATCAGGATTTTCAAGAATAATTGATTCCGCATTGAAAGTAGATGACACATCAGCATCTTCTATATTGTCTTATATTCACTATTTTCCTTAGGGGCTTTATCTAAAAATAGAACTTTAGAGTCCTGTTGAGGCTCTACCACAGATTTCAAGACAATGTCACGCCCTCTTCCAAGAGGAGATGATTATGAATTAATAAAAATTAATGGCATCTTTCAAAAATCTTCTTCTCAAGAACAGTTGGGTCAGGAAAGATGAAACTCATAAAGAAGCATCTTCTGGTAGAGAACAAGTTTGTTCAAATCATAACCCCCGATGGATAGGATGGGGCCATAATGGGGTATCAAATTTTAACATAGGAAAAAATCTATAAGAATCTTCTCAAGAACTACTATGCCAGGTATTATGAAACTCGTGTGGAAGCATCGTCTGGTCGTGAAGATTCAAGTTTTGTTCAAATCATGGCCAACCAGGAGAATACAGAAGCCAATAAAGTGGATAATAATTATACAAAGGAATATAAATGCTCAAACAATAAATGTTCGTCTTATAAACAGCAAAGCCATCATTTGCTATATTAATTCAAAGGCATGCATCCTAAGGAAGTGTGTATCTAAGTCTGTTCAAATACCCTCCCCCCTTCCCGAACCCACTTTTATATTCAAATTTGCAATATTATACTGAACTGATTTTTGCTTTCACCTAGCCATTTGCTCAGATGAGCGATGCGGCTCCTGGAATTGTTATCTGTTATAATAAAAAGGTGTCAATGGGCGTAAAATGTCAAACAATGACATATGACTTTTGTTCAGAATTAGCAAGGAACCGACTACTGACTACTGGTTTGATAAAAGTATCAGCTCATCAGAATTCTTTACATGTAGAATGTTTTGTCTAATGATATAATCAGACACAATGTGTGGTTGATGAGTTACATTGATTTGTTGATTATACCGATAAAATATCTATATTACGAGTAATTTACAATAAAGACATTT